GCCATCTGGTTCAGTCTTGATTCTGAACACCCACTTGTTCAGCAAAGCTCTCTTCCCTGCAGGTAACTCAGTCAACACCCATGTGTCATTCTTCTCAAGTGACCTCATCTCATCATCCATGGATTGCTTCCACTTGATCGAATCCTCCACCTGTAGGGCCTCATCAAAAGACTCTGGTTCCCCTTCATCAGTAAGCAATAGATAGTGTAATGAAGGTGAATACCTATTTGGTGCCCTGATGGATCTGGATGATCTCCTTAACACCTACTCAGGTTTAATTTGCTTCACTTCAGATTCTTCAGTAGGAGTTGGTTGAGTATCTGCTTCGACATCTCTGGGGTTACTCTTCTCCAACTCAACCTCAACTCCCACTTGCTTTGTAATCTCTAGAACCTTCTGCTCTTTGTCTTTGTACAGGACATGCTCATCAAATGTCACGTCACAATGTCTTAGGATCTTTCTGTTCTTGTCATCCCAAAATCTGTAACCAAACAAATCAGAACCATAGCCTATGAAGTAACACATCACAGCCTTGGCATCAAGCTTGTCTCTTTTTTCTTGATCAACATGAACATAAGCAGTGCAACCAAAAGTCCTCAAGTGTGAGTACTTGAGTTCTTTTCCTGTCCACACCTCCTCTAGAATCTGGAACCCTAAAGGAATTGATGGTACCCTGTTGATCAAGTATGCAACTGTGCTCACAGCATCCGCCCAAAATGTTTTGGGACGCCCACAGTGTATCCTCATACTCCTTGCATGCTCATTCAATGTTTTGTTCATCCTCTCAGCAATTCCATTCTGCCTTGCCTTACCAGGAACTGTTCTCATTAATCTAATTCCCTCAGCTGCACAGAATGTCTTGAACTCTGATTTATCATACTCTCATTCATTGTAAGACCTTAGGCATTTGACTTTCAAACTGGTCTGATTCTCAACTTCAGTTTTCCACTTCTAGAAAGTTGCAAACACATCTGACTTATGCTTCAAGAAGTAAACCCATACCTTCCTGTTGAAATCATCAATGAAGGTAACATAGAATCTGAATCCTTCAAGTGATAATACTGGAGATGGTCCCCAAACATCTGTATGGACCCTTTCCAAACGCACTTTCTTTGGCTCTCTAGGAGTCTTTGTGAAGCTTACTCTTTTCTGTTTGCCCATAAAACAGCTCTCGCAAAGACCCATATCAATATACTTCAGACCCTCTAATGCTCCTTTTGCAACCAGCATCTTCATTCTTTTAGCACTCATCTGTCCAAGTCTGTTGTGACACAGACACAAACTGGAAGCACCTTCAGCAACATCGGCCATATTAATACACTCGGCAGTGGTGTACAAGGTTCCAGATTTGATGCCACGAGCTACTACTATATCACCTTTCACAATCTTCCACGAACCTTTCCCAAACTCTGCTGCATATCCCGTGCTATCCAACTAACCAATAGAGATCAGATTTTTCTTGATCCCAGGAATATATCTGACATCCTCCAATGTCCACTGGTTTCCCGAGGTGGTCTTTATGCAAACATCCCCCTTTCCTTCAATCTCCAAGGCATTATTGTCAGCAAGATACACCTTTCCAAAATTTTCAGATTTGAAATTTTGGAACAACTCCTTGCTTGGAGACGAATGGAAAGATGCACCAGAATCCAAAATCCATGATTCAACCGGGCTGTTTACATAAGGATTAGAGCATCCCTAATGTCCTCTGCTGAATTTACAAAATCATTGTCATCTCCAAATTTCTGATTCTGTTTCTTCTTTGGCTTTACAATTCGTTCAAAAGTATCTTTTTTCTCCACAGTTCCAACAAGTCACGTTTGATTTATCCAGGGATTTTCCTCGATTATTTGATTTTGATCAACCATGTTGATTTTGGCCTTTCGCCTTACTTCTCCCCTTTCGATCAACGCTGCGAGCACTGCCCGATGAATCTCCCACTTCTCGTTTGTGAATACTTTCGCTAAGAACAACATCACGAATTTCATCACACTTTAGTTTCTCAGATCCACGAGAACTACTAATCGCAGCAACAACAGTATCCCAAGACTCGGGCAGAGATGACATCAAAATCAACGCCTTAATTTCATCTTCGAAATTAATACCCACAGAATTGAGTTGACTCACAATCATATTGAACTCGTTTATATGATCAGAAACGGATCCATTCTCAGACATCTGTAAATTGAACAATCTACGCATCAAATATACCTTGTTCATTTCCAATGGTTTTTCATACATTTTTTACAGTGCCTTAAACAAATCGGACGTAGTCTTCTCCTTCACGATGTTGAACGCCACGTTTCTTAAGAAAGTCAACCGGATCAACCCTAGAGTCTTGCGATCCTTAAGGTTCCACTTCTCCTCCGTCATGGATTCCGACTTCACCCCGGTCAATGCTTCGTAAAGATCTTTCTGGTACAGATAATCTTCGATCTGCATCTTCCAGAAACTAAAATCGGATCCATCAAACTTCTCGATTCCAAGCTTTGAACTATGCATCTTTAGTGATCGTGTTGAATCTCCTTTGCTCTGATACCAGTTGTTAGGATCGAACTCGCGCACACACTTGATGAATGAAGAACACAAGAACTTTCAAGAGAAAGAGATGAGAGATCAAGAGAGAGAAAGAGAGAACCCAATATTTTGTGGTAACACCCCGTGAGTAAACTTCCACGGCGGTGGGGTATATTTATATTAATAAATCAGAGTATTTTTGGTTATAGAGAATAAATTGAAAATAAATAGTAAAGCTATATATATATATTAATTAGGCTCCACAACCTAACAAAATCTGCACTAGGCAAGCCAACATCCGGAATGAAAACGATAAATTAAAACTAGAACTGGATTACCTGGAAGCAAAATAGACATAGAACTGGGCACATAGCCGATATGTATATAATGATATACAAAATATAAAAATGGGCTCAAAAGTGACCAAGAAAGACGAATATACATAAGGACCAAACGGCCGACATGATGTCATTAGTACAAGAGAGTCTAAGTACCTAAAGTACTATATACAATAGAGTTGTTTAATTGAAATATGAAATACATATGCATTAAAAAAAGAGGGAGAAATAGCAAGTCTTTGTACGCCAAGAGTTCACCACGGTCCAACACTGACATCGACCTCGGGAGATCAGGAATCAGCGTGGGTGGTTTGTACAAGACATTGCATCAGAAAAAGATGCAGAAGAACTAAAAAGCATAAGCCTATGGATCAAGTTCTTCTATTCTTGTTTTCTTGCGTTGACTGCACTTTGTAATCGAAAATCAGTCAAATATAAACTTCCTTTATTTGATTGTATTATGCTTGTAATTCTCTGTTTAAGTGCGCAGGTTTCTCTGGAGAAAACATTATCCTATTCATAGACCCAAAGACCTTTCATTCTACAACTTTAACTCAATAACTTTGTAGTGGTTCCTACTCCTTGTAGAATTCAAAAACCCGTGTTAACTGGATTAATTTATTATGTGCTTCATTTTCCTTGCAGGACTCCTTTATAAAAGGAAATTTTTGGCACTGATTTCATGTCGTAAAAGCAACTCATCCACCACCTTATAACTTTTGTTTCGCGAGGTTAACTTTCTCCTAATTTAGTTGGACTTGATCTGAAAAGAACATGTTTTTTTTATGATTAAGCATATTTTATAAACTTAGATAGAGGGTAAATACACACTGCTACTCGAAGGGTTGTTCGAGTTATTGACCTTAGGATGACCAATTACATTACAAATAGAAGTTTTAATTTTCCTAGGGTATAATGTCTGCCCTGATTACATCTTTTGCATACAATGGAGGAACTACCAAAAAAGTCGGGATCCCGCAGTTGTTGTTCCTGAGTCCTTCTATACTGAGCAAGTCCACCACCTTGTTCTGCTCACTGAAGATGTGCGTCGGCATGCTAGCTCCCAGTTTCCTTATGATTGACCTCCATTCAAGGATCAAATTAGTGTAGGGATGATTTTCATGTTCGAATAATTTAATCAGTTCGGAGGATTATGTATTAATATCTAGGGGGTGAATCCTAGATTCCCAAGCCATAATGAGACCTTGTCTAAGATCTCTAATCTCAGCAAGAATATGTTGACTTGTGCTTCCTTACTAGTGAAGCCAACTATTCAATCGCCTTTGTGATTACGGATGACCCCTCTTAGTCCCCTAGGCCTGGTGATGTTTTTATAGCCCCATCAGTGTTTAATTTGAATCTTCCTATCGTTGGGGGCTCCCACATGACATGGATGGAGTGATTTTCAGACGTGTCCCTGTTGTGGTGGTTTTCTATGATCAACTGGAATTCATGAGACTGGTAAATGACATGATTGAGGTAAATGTCATCTTTTCGTTTGCTGAAGAGATGCTAGTTTCTTTGAAGCCAAATGGCCCAGAAACAGTGAGGGATGATCACATGCCATCTTAGGTTTTGGTTATAATTCTTACCTTTAGTGTCACCCAACTCTAATGCCAATTCTTAATATATAATACGGTTCTGTCCAACTTATGGATAGAGGTCTTCCTTGCTAGGATGTTGTCCCAAAAATTGGTGGCTTTTGCACATCTGAAGAATATGTGCTCAATATTTTCTGTGTGATGGCCACAGATTTGGAACTCCGGCTGGATGTTCAGTCCAATCCTGTTGAGGTTCGTTGAGGTAAGGAGTTGTTATGGAACATGATCCAGATAAAGGTTTTAATTTTTTATCGGGACAACTCGATTTCCATATCCAATTAAACTCCCTCTAATCATCATTTGGAAGAGGTTTGGAATTAATTGAATGGATGAACTTGTAAGCACTGACAATGATGAATTCACCATTCTTTGTTAGGTTCCAGATTGGCTTATCATTTCTCATGCATCCAGGGTCAACGTGGAGGGTTTCAATGCTTGCTATGATTTCTTCAGGGAGGTCAAAGGATATGGTATCCCACTTCCAAATGCCCCATGTAGCCCTGTTGCTCACTAGCATCTTTTCTTCTCCTTGTCGGAGGGGGCCATGAAGGATGTTTCTGATGGCTTCCTGGTGAAAAATCCATTTGTGGTTAAAGAGGTTGGTATTGTTGCCATAGTTCACAACCCGCCTAAGTTCTTGTTTAGTATCCTCTCATCATTCCATGATGCATTTCCAAGTTCTAGAGATGGGTTTTCTCCTCCAATCAGTAACATGCTTGGAGTATTTCTAGATTAGCATTCTTCCCCAAAGGCTATTGGAGTGCCTAATAAGTCTCCATGCCAAGATTGCATGGAGTGTTCTGTTCTTGATTTCACTCTTATGTAGTCCCAAGCCTCCTTAAGATTCGGGAAGAGAGACAAGTTTCCCAGTTGACAATATGCATTTTCTTTTTTCCCTGGCTGTTTCCCCAAAAAAAAATAATTTGGATTCTGTTAATAAGCTTATTTGTTTTTGCAGGGAGTTGTATGTATTGCATGATGTGGCTAGGAATATGCTGAGAGATGTTTTAGCAAGGACTATCCTACCAGCCAAGTTCATGAAGTTAGTTTTCCAGCCTGCTAGTTTGTTCCTCATGGAGGCTAAGATAAACTGGAAATCATTATGGGTGGGTTTACTGTGGAATATAGGGAATCCCAAGTATTTTCCAAAGGCACTGATAGGGTGGATGTTGAGAAGGTTTGAGCCTTTCTTTCATCTGTTTTCCTATTTAATACTTGCATTTAATAAGTCTGTCTTGTATGAGTGTTTCTGTATTATTTTTTGTATGCTTGTAAACAATACTACATTATTTATGGCAACTTCTAAAATCTTCATCTCTTTCATATTTAGTTTGACTAGTCTTTCCATAAGTGTGTTACACATGTTTCAAAGATCAATTATTACTAAATATATGAATTAATCTCAAAGACCTCTTTTGATATAGATATTTTAAAAAATATTTAAGAAATAACTTGGCAAATCTTGAGTTCATACTACTTGTCATTATGTGAAATTTTTTTGCAAATAATTTAAATTTTCAAATTCTGCAAAAAAATAGTATTTGAGTCAACTTCTATTATTTGGAGACTTCTAAAATTGTGAAGATTACACAAAATTTTTATAATTAAGAAAAATATCCATCACTGCAAATGTAACACCATAAAAATCTCTAAGCTAAGGGTCAGAAATATTCTTTTTGTTTTTAGTTAAGTAGCATATTTTGTTCATAACCAAGCTGTTCAAATACATACAATGCAGTAATGGATTAATTGCTCACTCATCAACTCTCCTCTTCTACTAATCTATAATGAAATACAAATCAAACTACACAAATCAGTGAGATCCTACTACAACACTAGACAATAGTTATAGATAGATGTTGAGGTGTAGCTATGCACACTGCCATGTTGTCTTAGTCTTCTGCTTAAAGTACATATACATCTGAATTTCCTTTATGACACTCTCAGCTTCCCGCCTACCATATACAAATATAATCTAATTCTATTTTGTTACCTCTAGATGACAAACATCAACATCTCAAAAAGACTACACGTTATTTAAGCTAGTCTAGTCTTTATTTTTTTGGCCAATAGAAAAATTCATCACACCTATGAACCAAGGAGAGTCCAATCACACACAATCATCTCCACAAGTTCTTGATAATTTAACAATCAAAGTACAAATGACTAAGTCTCATCTGTCAATCCACAATAAGCACATTCACGAAGAACTTGGATTCCAAACTTTAAGAGTCTGTCTATAATTGTCAGTCTTTTGTGGATTGCTAGCCATATTATAAATTTAAATCTTGGATGAATACTAGGATGTAACCTTTCCAATAGACTTTAGGATACTTGGGCATCAACCCTTTGTACTTCATATGTAGAGCTGTCAATATGGGCTAGCCCACCCCATCCGGGCTAACCCATACATGCTTTGACATTTTACGGGTTAGGCCGGGCTAGTTCATTTTTGGAGTGGGCTAGAAAACGGCCTGTCCAACCCACAAGTACGTAGGCTACAAGCTTGCCGGGCCAACCTATTTTTTGAAAAATTATTTTTTTAAAATAATTATTAAATTAAGTTATAAATTATAATTTTAAAATATTATCATAAATATCGACAAAACAATATTACTTCATGCTAATGTTACTACTTGTTAATCAAATTTACAAATAAAATTAGGGATAATTTCAAAGACCTCCCTCCGGGTTTTGTTCTATAACACTCACCTTCCTTGTGGTTTATGATGTTACGTCTATCTCCCTTATTTCCATTTTCTTATAACGATTATTTAAATCTATTTAAAATAAATATAAATTGATTTAGATTTGAAAATTTTACCCTTATATATACAAGTCTAGATCTAATTTTCAATGATTCATTTCTATTCGTTGGATCAAATTTCTTCTTCCCTCATGAAAATGTTTAACTTGACAAAATTTGATTGTTCTTATCGAGTTTTTCTTTTGAGGAGTTCATTTTTATCTTCTATTTGAAGAAATTGTTGCTGGAAAATGATGGGTTATTGTCGAGGAAAAATCTACATGAATTGACAAAGGTGAAATAGCTACGAAGATTTAATATTTGGTGAAAATGGTGAGTCAGCTTGAATGAAGACTTTGATCTTTGTTTGATAAAAAAAAATGTATTTGTGATGATTTATTTTTAAAATATTTGTTAAATAAGTTATTTTTTTTATATTATTTATTAATATAAAGAAAGTAATGTAAGGGTAAAACCATCAAATCTAAATTAATTTATATTTATTTTAAATAGATTTATAGAATGGTTACAAGTAAATGAAAATAAGGGAAGTACATGTAATATCGTAAAACATAGGGGAGATCAGTGTTATATAGAGAAACTTGGAGGGAGGACTCTGAAATTATCCCATAAAATTATCTTTATAATAGTTATTAAGTTTTTTCCAAGAAAAAAATATAAATATCTAAATAAAAACTATTAACTTAATTGTTTTGAATTTGAATTTTCTTAAATTTTAAATTTTAATATTAGATTATAATTTTTAATTAATTTATATTGGCCCACGGGCTGACCCTACCTATATTTCTCAAGTCCCACAGATCAACAAGCTTATTCAGATCGGGCTAAAGAACCCTTTTCTTAAATGGACTCCAAAAATCTTAGTCCAACTTATTAAATCTCGGGTTAGGTTAGGCCGGCTCAATGGGCCTAGCCCATATTAACGGCTCTAATCATATGTGTGGAGTATTATCGCCCAGTTGAGCTGTTGCAAAAAATAAAAATAAAAATTGAGTTGTTGCAAAAGCTATATTCAAAGCACTCTTAGGTATTTGGACTGTTGAGTCGAACTATCCTTCATATGTGAATAGGGTCGAATTGACTTTTTTTTTAATTGTTGTTGACACCCAATTTTGACCAACCTATAATCCTTTTGAAATTGTTGTTTGGTTAAATACATATTTTAAAACATATATCCTTTTATTACGTGTTTAAAAGCTTAATCAATTTTGTCTAAATAATTAAATGATTTAGTATGTATAATTTAAAAATTTTCTTGTAATTATTATTATTAATTTGTTGTTGTTATTATTATTTTTATTACTACCATATTTTCGATAGTTAAACTCGAAATTATTATTTTACTTATTAAGTTAAATATCTTTATTATTTAGGTGTGTCTAATTTATATGAAAGTATTTTATTTTGTATTATTTTATCACTCGAATGACATTTTCTAAATCTTTCCTCCAAAATCATTTATAGTTTAGTCTTTTCTATTCTTATTTATATAAATTTTTGCCCTCTAAATTCAATTTTATTTCGATTATAACCTCTTATTCATTTCAATTCCAATTTAAGATTTCAAGCTCTTTTCAATCTCCACCGTCATCACTGAGTCAAGTACTATATCAAATCTTAGCCGTTCAAGTTCTCTAATCTAACGGTCCGGATTAAAAGGAATCTTTCTTTCCTATTTTAAGCTACCAAAGAGCTAAACCTTGACTTGTTCCTCTCTTCTCAAAAATTAGCCGCACCACTCCTCTCCTTCACTGTTGCCGTCTCAGGCAAGAAGCCGCCGGCGAAGCCACCCTCTCTCTCTCCTTTTCCGGAGGAAAACCCAACACTGTCGAGAACCCCTCTCTTCTTCTCCTCCCATTCTCCCTCCGCCTTTTTTTCTTCTACGTACGATAAGGCCACAGCAACAGGAACGCCACTCCGACTAGTTGTTCCGCCGGCTAAGAAACCAGGCTATAGCGAAGCCTCTCTCCTCCTCTCTTTTCTTTTTTTCGGCGACAGCGACCCCGACTCCAGCAAGCCAGCAGCCAGCAGAGGCCGCTCCGACCGTGAAGAGTCGGGTGGACTAGAAGCATCAAGGCTTGGGTTTGCTAAAGAAGAATCTATCCCGTCCAGGTTGGTTCTTGTTTTATTATTAGTTATCTTCTAACATCTTAATTTCTCCTAATGCATGTTTGAGTAAGGATTTTGTGTTATGATGCTGCTTGTGCTAACATATGTGAGTTGTATATATCCTTTGTTGATATGAACAATTTCAGATTCTGTTCGACATGAAACTATTTTTTTTTTTTTTTTAATTATGGGCTCACTGATTCTTTACTTATGCCTTTAAATGCGAAATGTCCTTTCCTTTGTCTAAATTGTGGTCGAACATTTAATTACTTACGATAATTTTGATATACTCTGAGATTCGTATAATTGGCTTATTTATGTCATAAATTACTGACTAAGTGCTTTATTTATGAAAGCTAGCTAACATGTTAGAGTGATACCTCATGCTATATAGTAATTGTTGATGAATAATTGATTGTGTTAAAACTTTGAATAATCTGTATTTACTGATTATGCTAATTCGGTCTTGCCATAAATATTGGTTTAAAATCTTGTTTTACTCTCTCTTTATGCTAGTTGATTCAATTGTTGATGAATTCCCTTAATGAACTCTTTGACTTGTTATAGCAAAATTTGTTAAAAATAAGTCTCTGAAAAGCATGATTATTTATTCCTCTTAGTTAAATATTCCATTGGTGCCTAATTTTATGCAAAATGCTAGTATCATTAGATTAACTTGTGTGCACTCACAGTGTAAATCTTACTCTGCCAAGTAACTTTAATGGTAATAGCTAAACCAGTTAAACCTCGAGTCTCGAAGCTCTAAAAACAAGTTTAACATTCATAAATCATGAATCTTGCCTGTACGGATATGAAGTTGTTCTCATCAGATCTTAAAAGAAGTACTAAAAGTCATTTTTGACATAATACGTTGTAAATATATAGGGACACGATAAGAGCAAACCTACTGTGAATGAGGTATGATATCCACAGTTAATTTGTCCTTGAAATGATTCCGAATATGATTGAGATTGCTTCTTTTAAAAGCAAAAAAAAGTACAATTTATTAGATAAATATATGGAAGTAAATGAAAATAAATTTTAATAAACATATAATATGAAGTATCAAAAGAAGAATTCACCATTATTATAGTTGTACTAAGTAGTGTTGATGTGCTTTGAGTTGCCAATTCAACATTAAAGCTTGAACTATACTTCAAATATCAAAGTTACAAAAATAATAATAATAATTATTTATCATTCATTATATAAAGTGAGATTACCTCATTTTATTGCCTTTGCCTTTACCTTTGCTCTTTGTCTTACCATTCTTTGAGCTTTTAATTTGACTTATTTATTTCTTAGAAGAACATTTCTTGACTTCAAGAGAATTTTCTAGACCATTTTTAGTTCTCAATGAATTTGGACCCCCTTTAGTTACTACACATAAAGGGTCAATCAAAATAATGTTTTATCTTGGCTTGTGTTTAGTTTCACATTTGACTCGTTAACTAGACCATCAAATACATTATCATTCTCGACCTTGTAAAGAAGTTCATCAAGTTCTTCACATAGTTGGGATAATCTTTGATACACATATTTATAATGTCTTTCAGATTGTGTAGCTCGTTCAGAGATACCAAAAGAACACATCATAATATTATTGAACTATATAGAGGAAGACTTCAAATTATTCACTTGTGATTTGTCATTTGAAATGTCATGAACTTTATCTTTGGTTGCATACATTGTCCATCGATTCAATAGATAACAGGGTTGAAGTGAACAAATTTGTTTCTTTATAAATACCATTAGCACATGTCGATATAAGATTCCCATGAACTCAAACTTGCAACAAAAACCAAGTAACATTTTTCAGTATAAGGTTCACTATAACCATGTATGAATGAGTTTGTTTTTTAAACAAATGAACTTATAGATATGTATTTCATTCCAAACCTCAATCTTTTCTGAAATAAATTTTTGAGACTGAATCAGTTCTTCTTGGAATTTTTCTTTTGAACAAAATCCTTGGAAACTGCTTGCACTGCTTTGCTTAATTTGGTTTCTTGATCTTCAATAGAGTTTATCTACCGTTCCTATGTATTATTCTCATAAATCTGGTGCACAACCTACAAAATTTCCAAAAGAAATACATCAAAATCAGTGGTGTATATAGTTTATTAGGTACATGGTCCAATCGAACACAATGTTTTCAATACGGAGCATGAATATATATGTGAAAACCCCCTAACTTTTAACAAATACTATATTCTAAATTCATAATTTGAAAAGTAGAAAGGGTTACCAGAAAGGTTGACGCTATCAAGTTTAAATCTTGAATCTAACTGTTATCAATACCATATTTGAGATGACATTTTTCTAAGAAAAGAATAAACCTTCATTACTACTTCTCAAAGAGAAATGACTGAAGCAACAATAGTAAAGAAAGGAATCAAAAAAATTTCAAGTTTGAGATCCTTATAGAGCGCCTTAATTTTAGCAACACAAGCATCATCATCTTTCCATAATTTTTCAGCTAAAAAAAGGTTCTTACATTTAGCATTTTGCTCATGCTAGTTGTTTGCAGAGCTATGCTGCTCGAACTCTCCAATAACACTATCGTACTCATAGCTTTAGTAGGATTCAAAACACACCAACCAATACTTTTGAAGAGTTGGAGCTAGATAGTTGCAGATAATGTAACCAAGGAATAACAAGTTTTTTAGGCTCTCATCCAATAACTCTTTTGCTCCTCGTTGCAGTGTTCTAGGGCTTTCACAACCAACCCAGAACACTTGAAATCTTTAATATCCGTGTCATTCTGATAGTAAGACATATTGTTATAAAATCTCTACATTTTCAAGTTAAAAGAGCTACATTATCAATTTTATGGATTTTGTTTAGTACCGGCTTTCTTATAATACATAGCTCTTTTAACTTGAAAATGTAGAGATTTTATAACGATTTGTCTTACTATCAGAATGTCATGAATATCAAAGCTTTCAAGTGCTCTTGATAGGTTGTGAAAGCCCTACAACACTGCAACGAGGAACGAAAGAAGTTATTGGATGTGAGCCTAAAAAATTTATCATCCCTTGGTACATTATCTAACTATATAACTAGAACTTTTCAAAAATATTGGTGGGTGTATTTTGAATCCTACTAAAGCTATGAGCGCGGCAATACTTTTGGATGGTCCGAGCAACATAGCAAAATACTAAATGAAAGAACTTTTTTTTAGGAGAATTGTGGAAAAGATGATGATGCTTGTGTTGCTGAAATTAAGTCACTCTATAAGGATCTCAAACTTGAGGTTTTATTTTTTCATTTCTTTACGATTGTTACTTCTCTCTTTTCTTTTTGATAAGTAGTCATGAATGTTCATTCTTTTCTTAGAAAAATGTCATCCCAAATATGAGTTCATAATATCCATGCTCCGTATTGAAAATACTGTGTTCGATTGAACCCCGTATCTAATAAGCTATATACACCACTGACTTTGGAGTATTCCTTTCGAAAAATTTTTGTAGGATGTGTATCGGGAATATGAGAATAATACGCATGAATAACTAATAAACTTCATTGAAGATTAAGAAACCAAATTAAGCAAAAGCAGTTCTCAAGTCATTCTTCTTGAAATCCTTCTTTTGAACAAACAAATTCTTGGCCTATTATTGCTTCATCTTTCCTTGATCTAGTGATTTGATTTTGCGCACACTAAAATCACTACGATAAGCATAATCAAGATAAAATTTAAATGTAATAGCAAGTGACTGAAACTCCTTGTCGATGTACGACACTCTTGATTCTTCATTACCAAACTGTGGAATTTCCTCACGTGAAGATCTTATACTTTCTGTATTTTGTTAAGGCAAGTAGAGAATCCAAATTTGTCCTGCACCATGTAGATAATAGATGTAAGATTAACAAAATAAATATAGCTTATAGATAAAAACTATATTATTCATGAGAAAATTCTTTATTAACAATTTATGTTTAAGTTAATTAAGTTCATTCAGAGTGAAGTATATTAAATAGGTATTATAATGAATGATGATAAAGTAATTATGTTTTTCTAAGTTGAATAATGTTTTTCTATTCATAACTTTTTTAAAAAGTAATGAGTGAATAGTTACCATTAATTCCAATGATAATAGTTTTAAATTGCTTCAAGTGAACGACGGTGACACGAAGAAATAATAATACCACGATGAAAAAGAAGGACAAATGGAATATTGTCGGTAGGTTTAAAAAAAAAAGAATCCTAAACTAATTTGCTAAATTAAATTCAAAATTCTAGTTATCTTATAACACTAAAATCAATATTTGTGTTTTAAAAAATAAAAAGTAAGAACAAATTGAAAAACCTAACTTCTAGATGCCTTAGAGTTAAGTGATAATATAAAAAGAGTTTTACTGTCCGTTATTGAATATCCCTTGCCTTGATGAATTGTGGGCAGATCTTCCTTGAGAAAATCATTAATGAGTTTACGGGAAATTCGCTACTGACTTTTACTCTCTTGATAAAAGGAAATAAAGATTTCAAATTTGACTCCCATTAATTAATCATTTTCCTTATACTGACTGAACCTTCTTTCACTATGTATAAGACCTTTGTTTCATCCTTTACACACTTTATGTGATTAGTTTATTAATCACATATTTAAATAAAATGAAGCATGCAGCTTAGTTTTCCATTCTTCCCCCGCTCTCTGTGTGATATTATCATTTGTTGTTATGCTATAATTTACTTGCATAAATGTCCACCTTTTGCCAGATATATGAAATAAATAAATGTGTGTGTGTTGATTCTGCCCATACAATTAGTATTATTAACTGCATTTATGTGTTATATATTTGTGGGTATCTCCCTCATGTTTAGCAGGATTTTGAACATAAAGTTCAACTATGTCGAAGAGTTTGCATCTGGGACGAAATTAGTAGTAGTGTTTAGACTTTATGTGTTATTTTATTTGCTTCTGTAATAATTTAGAGTAACCCAACTCTCTATATGTATATAAAACAATTTGGGGGAGGGGAATTTACGTGCTACCTCATGTTATTTTTTATTTGTTAAACTTGTGTGTGTATGTATTGGTAGTCAATTATTTGATTATAACTAAAAGAATAATGCATGCTGTTGTATTACGTATCACCACCTCCGCATGTATTTAATGTCAGCTAGAATTTACATGCTTGTATATTTATTTATTGCTTTCCTTAAAACTACTGATGTGTTACTGATCTCATTTACGTGCTAAATGTTATCGCTTTGATAACCATCATTTCTTTCATACTTCTCCCAATTAAGAACCTCTTTTATTTTTTTTATTTTTCGTAATGTTGTGTCTTTGCACCTCTCACAAAATCCACTTCAAATACCTTATACTAAAGAATTGACAGATGTGTGGAAGAAGCGAATACTCTTATTATCGTGGTACCGCGAGTCTTCTCGCATAGAACCTCTTCAAGTCGGTGTCTATCCAACTCTTAGAAATTTTAATTAGGTCATACATGTTGTTAAACCTAGATGATATTACCTTTGGTGTCAAACCATACTATTAGTATCACCCTATAGTCTAAAGGGTCCAACACCCTTACGTGTCAATGTGATCATAACAATTAAGTCAAGCTATGTCAAATCGAGTTAGTATTTGTTTATTATTTTGTTTGTAGAATGATGACATCTCCATGTTCCGTCAGCCTGCAAATCATCATAAAAGTAAATTAGAAATTAAGATTGGTAGAACGATATCAAGAAAAAACATGAAATAAGAGATTCGTCATTTATTTGCTGTCCTTTACTCGTTTTTGTTATTATACTGGATCGACAATTGATTAGGGCTTTGTTGCAATTTTGTGACCCCTCGAGAATGGTCTCCAAGTTTAGTAATTTTGAATTGGTACCTAAAATCGAAGAAATTAATGGCTTCATTGAATTGTCGTATCACAGTGTGAGATTATTATACCCGGGACATTCTATTAAGTCTAGGAGTGAAGTACAATCCAATATTTACCTACTCCAATCTTGGGGTGTAATTCTTTCAACTTTTTGTATTCATGCTTCGGCCATGAAGATAGTTATTTTTCTTTTTATAACAATTTGAGTGCTTGTCTAGAGATGGAAAAAATATTGTGTAAATGCCTTTTCCATAACATTATTAGGTTCTCTAGCTTTTTTAAAGTTAGAAGAAAGATCGATACTCGCTTGAGGTACGTGGTTCGTGCATTAGCGCAAGGTAGGGACGGACCTAGAAAAACTATAGTGCACATGATATTAGCAAAGATCATGAGTAGTCTGTCTGCACGTGTTAATGGTAGAATACTTTTTGAAGAATGCAACCTTTTGGTACAATTGTGGGCCATTGAACAATTCTATAGACGACTTGACATAATAGATCTTCTTAATGGTATGAGCAACAAAATTGATAGACATCCAAAAAGAGAGGAAGCTTTATCGCTCTCGTAGCATTCATGATATTTTTAGTAGTACACAATGACTATCACGTTCAATGGATATGCTTCTCTTCGAGTACTCCGTCAATTTGGACAAGTTCAAATGATACCATTGCAATCCAATATGGATCATTGTATGACTTTGGACAAAATTATTCAGAAGTCCATAACATATTTCGAAGATGCGAGAGGGTGATAACTATAGATGTGCACGATGTTCCTGCAGTACACCTGAATACTACTTATGGATTCTCAAAGAGGCTGAGGGTCGGGAATTAAGTGAAGAAAGGAAATTATGGGCTCGCCGATGACTAAGAAACTATATGGGCACACAACTTGTGGGGCCTTGAAATCGCTCCATATGACATCAAGCTCCTAAGGTTGATATTTTCGAGATTTCAAAAATTTAGGATAACTTTCCTATGTTATCCCATTTTCCCCTTAGTTTATCTCTGCTTTTATGATGTAATAGTTCAATTTCTATCCAATAAATGAAAGTTTGTTTCTTCTTTATTATTGTCTAACCTAAACTCCAAATTGACAAATAAGACTTGAATTAATCATTGTGCATCACTTATTTTTCGTCTTAGGCCTACCTTTGAATCAACGAGGGTCCTTGCATTTTAGGATATTTATTTTAGAAAAATAATGTGCTTATTATCTTATTTTCATGCAATGTTCTCACTTGGTTTTCTTTAGATTTCTATTTTTGTTTATCCCTCCCCAACTATTGGTCTGTAGATCATGGTTTACCACACACGATCAAAATACACTCTTCTTTCTCCTCTTAGTGATAATCACAAAGGAAAGAGTAAGATGATTAATAATAAGGTTATAGTTGAAGTTGTTGAAGAATAACATTTTTCTAATGAGTTTGTTTCAAGATTGGAGCAAAAATAATGAAAAAAGAGATATATGATATGCGCGAGTGAGCTACGTTGTTACCCTCCATCAATCGGAGACAAGCTGGTCATCCATGTTTGTCTCCAAAGAGATATTGATATAGAGTAACACCTTAGCCTACTCACGCATATTAGATATCTATTCTTCTAACTCCCTTAATTTTGCTCAATTCTTGAGACCAACTCATTCAAAAGATGCTCTTCTTCAACAGTTTCAACCATAACCTTATTACTTTGATCGTGTGTGGTAGAAAATGGTCTATAGATCAACCATTGGGGAGGAATAAACAAAATATAAATCTAAAGAAAACCAAGTTAGAACATCACATAGAAATTAGATAATAAACACATTATTTTTAAAAATAAATGTCCTAAAATGCTAGAAACCTCGTCGAGTTTGAAGTAGGCCTAAGACAATAAATTAGTGATGAACAATGATTAATTCAAGTCTTATTTGTCAGTTCGAAGTTTAGGCTAAAGGATAATAAAAAGAAGCAAACTTTCATTTATTGGATAAAAATCAGACTATTACATCATAGAAACTGAAATAAACTAAGGGTAACATGGGAAATTTATCCTAAGATTTTGAAATCTCAAAGATATCAATCCTAGGAGCTTGGTGTCATCTGCCCTCTTGTATATGGAGTGATTTCATATCCAAGGTTCCACAAGTTGTGTGTCCATGTATTTTCTCTTTTATTGACGAGCCCATAATATCCTTCTTCACTTAATTCTTGAAGGAACGTCATGCACCCATATTTATAGTTATCACCCTCTCCCATCTTTGAAGTATATTGACTTCTGGATCATTTTATCCGAAGATATACAATGATCCATGTTGGATTGCAATGTATCACTTGAACTTGTCCAACTGACAGAGTACTCGAGGATGAACATATGGTTGGATGTATTTTAAGCCAATAAGGTCAATGAAATAACATTTATCACCTCTCAGGCTCTCACTATGGCATGGGGGATATATAGCAAATAGAGTTTTCATTGAATGTGATAGTTCATTGTGTTCTATCAAAATTATCTACGAATCCCACAAGGGCGGTGAAACCTTTTATTCTTCTTAGATGACTATCAATTTTACTGACCATATCATTGAGGAAATCTATCATGTCCAGCCATCTATGGAAATGTTCGATCGCCCATAATTGTAGCAAAATGTTGCATCCTTCAAAAAAGATTCTACCATTTACACATGCAGGCAGATTCCTTATGATCTACCATTACACATGTGCATTATAGTTTTCGTAGGATCTCGTCCCTTACGCTAATGCATGAACCATGTACCTCAAATAGGTATCAAACTTTCTTCTTACTATGAGAAAAACTAAAGAATTGAATAATGCTATGGCAAAGGCATTTACACGATATTTTTTACATCTCTCGACGGAGTACTCAAATTTCTCATAGAAATAATAAAACTCTCTTCATGGTTGAAGCGTGTATTCAAAAAGTTCAAAGAAATCCATCCAAGATCCAAGTAATGTTGGATTTTACTTCATTCTAGAAAGTCTTTCAATGATGGTTTATAGGGTATAATCATTTTACACTCATGGTACGACAATTTAATAAAGCCACTAATTTCTTCAATTTTAGGTATCAATTCAAAATTACTTAACTTGAAGACCATCCTTGAGGGGTCACAAAATTGCAGCAAAGCCCTAATTAATTGACTTTCCAGTATGACAAAAATGAGGAAAGTAAGACCGAGTAATAAATGACGAATCTCTATTTCATGGTCTTTCTTGATATTGTTCCACCAATCTCTTAATTTGTAATTTACATCTACGACCATTTGTGGATTGACGGAAGATGGAGATGTCATTACTTTGCAAACAAATTCTAAATGTCATTTGGCTTAACATGACTTAAATTAATTTTTATGATCACATGACACTTAATATGCTTGTCTAGAGGGTGTTGGGATCCTTTAGACGATAGGGTGGTTACTAATAGTGTGAATTGACACCAAGGGTCAAACTATCTAGGTTTATGCAACATGTATGCCCTCATTAAAATTTCTAAGAGTTGAGTAGACATGAATTTGAAGAGGTTCTATGCGAGAAGACTCAAGGTTCCATGGTAGTAAGGTATTTTAAGTGGATTTTATAAGAGGTGCTAAGGAAATAAAAGTGGTTTTCAATTGGGGGCAGTATGAATATAATGACAATTATCAAAGCGGTAACATTTTGGCAAATACTACTGTAACGACCTGTTTAGTCGTTTTGAGTAGCGGACTTCAATTCTGGAAAAACTGGCAGAAGCGACAGACCCCACGACGAACCGTCATGGGCACGACGAACCGTCGTAGGGTCTCATTTCAAAACACTTAGAAAATCTGAAATTGGGTACTGAAAATCGACTCTCTGAACTTCGTAACGGAATGGCAGGACGGACCGTCACAGGCGTGACGGACCGTAGCAGATTATTCAGTGGAAATTGAGTCTCTGACCCTTGCGACGACCTGCAGGACAGACCGTCGCAGGCACGACGGGCCGTCGCAGGTTGCGCAATCCCAGTCTGGGTCGAATTTCTTGATACGTTTTAAGAGACGTTTTTGACTATTCTTGCCTTAATTATAAAGTTAGTGGGTTAACGTTAATAAGTCTAATTACTTGGGGGTTAAAAGAGGTAACCTTAAGTTAATTAGTGGGGCATTATTGCCATATTTTATTCTTAATTATATGTTAATTAGGGTAAAAGAAAGAGGGTTGGAATAAGAAAAATAAGAAAGAACAAAGAGAGAGAGAAAAAGAAAGAGAACGAGTAGAGAGAGAGAGAGACGAAGAGGATAGCAAGGATTCTGAGAAGATAGCTTGTTGATCGCAATTC